AAAACGATGCTGGGTGAAGTTGAGTCACTCTCAAGGCGGGGATTTCAGATCTAGACGTGTGCAATGCCAGCCCTTACTTTTAACCATGGCACTTTCCCAACCATGCCATGGGGTGGGGATGCATGGAGGGCAAAGTAAGGGGGGCAGGAAAAGTTCGGTGGAAGCCCCCTCCGCCCAGCCTGACTCTTGGGGCCCTGCCCCTCCAAGGTGAGCTTCTCCCCAGGCCCTTCACCATGCCTGCCCCCTTCCCCTGCCAACCCACCCAAGTGACAAAGGCAGATGCTCAAGGAGGTTCAAGGATGCTGCAGAGGCTGCAGTCCCTTTCCTGGGATGGTGTCCCAGCCCCACCGCTTACTAGCTGCGTGGCCTTAAGCAAGTGGCTAAGCACCTCTGGGCCTCAGTTTCCCTATCTGTAAAATGGGAGCGTTATTAGTGACTACCTGGCAGGGTAAAAATTAAGTGACCACTCTTCCACCCCCAGGTTTACTGAGACGGAATTGACATATAACGTCGCGCAGGTTTAAGGTGTATTCCGCGATGTGATGCGCAGGTGTGGTGATATGATTACCGCATGAGGTCAGCTAACACCTCCATCACCTCGCGTAATTATCTTTCTGTGTGTGTGGTGAGAACGTTTAAGATCTACTCTCTCAGCAACTTCGAAATATGCGATACAGTACCATTAACCACACTCCCCGCGCTGTAAAGGACATCCCAGGACCTGGTCATCTGCTAACTGGAAGTTCGCACCCTTTGACCAACGTCTCCCCGTTTTCCCCTGGTAACCACCGCTCGACTCTGTTTCTATGAGTTGGGCTTTTTTTATATTCCCCGGTGGTTGCCAGGGACTGGGTGGTGGAGAAATGGGTGAAGGTGGTCAAAGGTCGAAAGAAACTGCCAGTTAGAAGATGAATAAGTTCTGAAGATCTGATGTACAGCACGGTGACTACAGGTAACAGTACTGTACCGTGTGTTTCAAAGTTGCTAACAAAGTAGATTTTAAAAGTTCTCACCACACACAAAAATATTGTAACTATGTGAAGGGACGGATGTGCCAACTAACTTTATTATGGTGATCATTTCACGATATCCGTATATCAAATCACTACGCTGTACATCTTAAACTTACATAATGTTATATGTCAATCACATCTCAATAAAGCCGGGGGGGAGATAGATTCCACGAATAAGTGAGCACATATAAGGATATGTTTTCCTCCGTCTTGTTTCATTAAGCAAGTACTTTACACACAGATGGGGCAGGGCACGACCTCACAAATGTCACCTTTTTAAATCATTATTTTCTGCTTTTCCCCATCTACTGACAAAGATTGAGACTCTGAGTGGTCTCAAAAGGGAACTGCGGTCACCCAAACTAGAGGCACCGCCAGCCGGGACTTCCCCTTCCTGTCCTGCCCCCCAGCACTGTAGCTCCAGGGACCCCATCTCTGGCCCCACTGGAGCAGAATCTTTCCACTTGCAGGGCAATTTCCTCACCCCAGATTGTCTTTTCACAATGTTCTTGGCAGCAGCTGTTGGTTAACTCGTGTCTTAAAATTTTGAGCAACTTTACAGAAAAAAAAAAAACAACCCAGAAAACAAAAAAGGAAGTTTGCCCTGCTTTCTCGATGTCTGGGTCCCCCTGGGATGTTGGCCTCCTCCCGTCCACACTTTTCTGCCTTCCTCGAGCTTTCCTTGGCTCCTGAAGTCACAGTCACTTCCTTGCCCTACCATCCCACCACCTGGCCCAGCCGACAGCTCTGGCATGCCCAGGACCCTCACATCTCTCAAGTGGAGCAAGTTCAAGACCACAGTTACTTGAATGAGATATTGTTTTAGAAGGAACCCCTGCATAGCACAGGCGGAGAACTCCCACCCTGTAATGCATTCCTGACCTCAAAAACAAGGGTGCTCACTTCATCCGAGGGGTCCCCTCAGACTGCCCAAAGCACCGATGGCAGCCTGAAGAATCCTTTTTTCTCACTTTGTAGGGCCCTCCTCCTTCTTAGCACACACTGGGAACCACTGCCCAGCCTAGGGCTGGCCCCCATTTGAGTATTACATAACCATATTATTATGTTATTAATATAGTAGAGTCTATATTATTATTATTGAAGCTAGTGGTTCGTGGGTGCTTTCCATATGCTTATGATGTGACCGCCATTGACCCTTAGGTCTCTCCCTACCTCGTGCCTCCTTGAGGAGCTCCTGTGTCTGGTTGCCTCCTAGGGATCTTGAAGATAATACATAAGATGCATCAGGTTGCCACTTTCCATACAAATCCACTAGTCGCTGAGGGGCAGTTCTTTCGAAAAGGACCCTAGCTAATTCCAGTGGAAGGAACGGTAAGGTTGGAAATAATCTTTAAGAGATAATGAATGGGTCCAGGTGGTGAGAACCAATGGCTGCTAACACCTCTGTGTGGTGAGCTGGTGGGGAGCAGAGGACACCCTTTCATCAGTCGGGTTGGAGGGAATGCTAAGGAACAAGCTATAAGAAATCATGAGGAGGAAACCAGTCAAATCTAGAACGGGAGCCATTCCCCAGGACGAGAAGAGAACTCCAAAGAAAACACGAACTTGTGATAAATGATCCTGAGGAAGTAAAGCAGAGGCCTCTCCGAGGTGATGACATTGGAGCTAAGATGAGAAGGAGGAAGAGATGGCAAAATTTGGGGGAACAGCCTTGCAAGCGAGGAGAACAGTGGGTGCAAAGGCTCTGTGGCTTTAACAGTCAAGTGTTGCTGGAGCAAGTGTGTCTGACTGATCCAGTGAGGAATGGAGTTGAGAGGGGAGGGGATCTCACAGGACACACAGAGAGGGATGTTGGATTTTATTTGTAGAATCAAAATGTCCTTAGGTTGGAGACATGACATCATCTGGGTATGAATAGGGGTAGAGGTCGAGGTGGTTTAAGCAACAGAGTTTTGCTGCGGCTGAGAACTAAGGAGGAGCCCCTGACCTACTTCTCTGACGTCTCTTATTGGGTCACCCAAGCTAGTTAGTTACTCGAAAGATCAAAAAACCCGGAAAATTGGGCCACAGCGCCCCCTGCTGCTCACATTGCTTACCTATACAAGCAGGCCCCGGAGGAAAACCACCGCTTCCCGGGGAGCCGAGTTTAAATGTTTAACTTTAAAACTGACTTCCTCCCAATTCCTCTGTCTCTCGCCAGTTAAATCGCTTCCCTGCCTAAGCCGGGCGCCGAGCACTGCATCCAGGGCGGCCGTCTCAGGGGTCTGCGCCGACCCACTTTCTCCTCCCCCCAACCCCCTACGCCGCACCCCACCCCCGCAACAACCTTGAGCATCCATCTTTCTGCCCTGGTGGGCTCAGAGAAATACTAGAATTGCTGAATCAGAGTTTTGTGCTTTTCCAAGGCTCCATCTGCAAAACTGAAATTTTTCTAGGAAGCGTGTCCTTAGATTTCCCTGAATTCTCAAAATAGGCGACCTCCAAATCAGGCCGAGTCCTCAGCGAGGGGGGAAGGAGGGTCCTGGGTGTCCCGTCTCAGCCCACGCACTCCTGGTCCTAGCCTTTATGGGCTACATTCCCACAGGTGACAGAATGGAAATAAGCAGGCTTCCACGGAGGGGTGGGGAGGTGAGCGCTATACCCAGCTTATGCACCCGCCCCCCAGC